GGGGGAGAGATAGAGCCCCGATTGTTGCTGCGCCGAGCAGTGGGGAGCACAAAACCACACACACACACACACACACACACACACACACACACACATGGACGATTGTGGCATTCTTTCGTTTGTATTTTTACAACCCATCTCCAGAGCAGCAGCAGCACCGGGCTCAGGGCAGGGAAAGGGGGACAGGAGGGGGGATATATGTGTATGTCTGCGTATGTGCATGTGTGAAGCAAGGCCGGTACAGGGGAGGGAGAGGGGGAGGGGAAGGGGGAGGAGACCAAATCTAAACAACAGCCACCCCATCGCCCTCTCCTGGGTGCCTTTTTTTTTTCTTCTCCCGTCCTCGCAACATGATCCTACGCGGCGAGGCAGTGGCCGGCCCCACGCGGGGTGATGGTCGCCCGACGGTGACAAGAAAGTCGTCCAACGGCAGAGGGAGGCCGTCCCTTTAGTCGTCGATGCCCTCCAGCAGGGCTTTCCGGCGCTTGCGGCGCTCGCCCTTGCTCAGGCCATCGCTCTGACCCTCGTCGGCGAAGGCATCGCCACCCTCGGCATCGTTGGCACCGGTCTCGGGCTCGGTGTCGGCCAAAGGGCGCTTCTTGAGGGCCTTCATCTTGCGGGTCTGCAGCTGCGACAGATCCTGGCGCTCCATGTGGATGCGACCATACGAGCCGATGTCGTCCTTGGTGACGTTCTTCTCCTTCTTCGGCTGCAGGGTCCGGTTGACCTTGAGGGCGGCCTTGCGCACCTCGGCCGAAGCCTCCTTGTGCCGGCGGAGGACCAGATCCATGGACGGACCCATCTCCTCGAGCTCCACACGCGGCAGGCGCTGGCCGGACTTCTTGAGCTGCGCGGTGTACACGCGGAAGAAGATCTTGTTGCTGTACACCGGGAGGGGGGCCCAAGAGCAACGGAGGGTGAGAAGGGGCAAAGAGCACACACACACACACACACACGCGGAGCAAAGGAGGAGAATGAGGGGAAGGCCCATTCCTGGAGAGCGTACCCATCGTCATCGGCCGTGACCGAGATGAAGTGGTCAGAGCGCGCAGATCCACCTGGTCGATGGCCTCGCCACGGAAGAAGTCTATGGCGGAGCATGAGTATGCGTGGTGACGACGTTGCGGAGGGGAGGAGGGGGGGGGGAGGAGAAGGAGGGCAAGGCGGGGCGCAGGAGGCTGGGTAGGACGAACCGAGGATAATCTCCTTGAACAGACGCATCTGGGGGTTGACATCGAACACCTGGCCGTTGAAGAGGAACATGTGCTTGCCACCCACACCGATGGTCGAGGACTGTTGCGATTGTGCGGTTGTGCGAGTGTACGGTGGTGCAACGGTGAGTGACAGCCGCCATAGGGAGGGGCAGCAGGGGGAGCATGTGTTCGCCAGACAAAGGAACAGGCACAACGGACCTTGAACTCCTGGATGGACTTGAAGTTCGTGATGCCAACCTCAATCATGTCCATCAGGCGGTGGTTGAAGAACCGACCGAAGACCAGATTGCTCGGGCGCTTCTTGTTGCTGGAGGCCAGGCAGAAAAGAGAGCTATCAGGCCACGGAGGATCAGACAGGGACATGTTTCATGGCAGTTAGCAAATGGCAGCCGGGTCGAGACAAGTAATGTGCACACACACGCGCGCACACGAGCGAGAGAGAGAGAGGGAGGGAGAGAAAACGCAAGAGAAAAGGAGAGAGGGAGGGAGAGCAGGACGCACGTGTCGTTCTTATCGGAGAAGAACTCCAGCGAGGAGGCGTCCTCGAAGGGGGAGATCTGGTTCTTGCGGCTGAAGAGGACGGCATTCGGCTTCTTCAGGGAGTACAGGTCGCGCAGGGCACCGAGAGACACCTCGTTGGTCTGGATACCACGCAGGAAGATCGCGGACTTGGGGTTCTCGACGATCAGCGGGGCCTTGGCGTCGAGAACGCGCTTACCCTTGGCGGTCTTGGCCTTCTTGCTGAGAATGGGAAAGGGGGGGAGGGGGTATGCGGGTGAGAGGGGGCG